CATTTTTTGTATTCCTTGAAAGTACAAACACACTTTTTCAAATTTTATATCTATCAAACATTGAGCAACCAAATTATAAACACTGGTACATATCAAATATAAATCTAAGATAAGATAACAACATAAATCTCTATTTACTAAAAGCAACAAATCATAAAAAATGAACACGTGAAAGTGAGGCTAAGGCGAGCGAAGAGGCGAGCAAACAAAGCTGAGAGAGAGGCGAGCGGCGCGATGCGAGGAATAGGGTTTCCTAGGTGAGCGGCAAGCGAACAAAGTGAGGCGACAGGAGAGGAAGTGGAGAGTTTCTATTTTTTTTTTTGTTCAAATTAGGGCTGGGTCAACAGGTTAAGTGGGTTTCTATTGACTAAAAAAAATGGGTTTCTCTTTTCTAATTTACAATTCTACACAGCAGAATTGCATAAGAAACAAGAAAAAACAGAGGCACAGTTGCCAGGGTAGGGTTTAAAGTAAACATAAGTATATTATATATTATATGATATATAATTTTATATAATATATACAGGATCAGTCCAACCTGGACTCACCCTAAAGTCCCAAGACCGAGGATGAACCCGCACAGTGTAGGATACAGGGGTCCTAGGACTAAGGACTAGCCAATACCCTTGGGAACTAGATGAGGACCGGTCGGGTTGGGCCGGTCTAGGGTCGGTCCACGGTTAACCCTTGATCGGTGCTCACCCCTAATCTAAATAACACTAAAAGTTATCTATCCCTTATATGATTTCTCCAATTTTAGCCACCCTCCAAAGCACCATTGTTTGTGTGTGTGAGAGAGATAGCAACATAGTAGATTGAATGATTAAACGTCTACAGTCTAAGAAATGACCTTCCGGGGTTTGTGTTGATGGCCGTGCTGAGCCGATTGTGGAACACACTAAGGAAGAAGGAGAAGAATGGAAACAAGGGAGAAAAAGAGAAGCAAAAAGGAAAAGAGAAAATAGGAGAACCCATATCGTTCACCTTCATTTACAGTATGGATGAATGGGTTGGCTTCCATTTGTGGGCCACCCACCTCTAGGTCTTTGAATTTTGTGGCCCTACATAATCTATAATATTCATAAAGTATAGTAAGTTAATCCGTTAGGCCTGCCCATGAATTTTGGCCCCGAAATGAATGTGAGCTCAGTCAATTGTTACCCACATTGATTTATGTCAATGAAGTAGGATTGGGATCAATAGCGCTCATCTGCCGTTCAAAGGTTAGTTGTGTTTCACGAATTGGTTGGGGGTCATGGTTCCTATCGACATTTAAGGCGTGTTTATTTCACTGAAAACTTTATGAGAAAGGAAAATATTTTCTATGTAAGTCATTTTCAAAGAAAATTGTTAGTTTTCATTTATTTGGTGGCTTAGGGAAAATGATTTTTTTCTTGCCAGAAGTAGGGGTAATCAGTTCCAGGGTAGGCTGGTTTTTAGTTTGTGGAATCGGGACTTGCCCACTTGGTCCTGGACCCACCTATAAACTGGATCGGGCGCATCTCCTTTTTTTTTTCCTATTCACTGCAAGACTGCAAGTGTTATTGTATGGTCTAAACTACTACACGAGTGATGTTAATAGAACAATCTTGTGATAAGCTAAACATGATGATCATCTCCAAGAACAAAGCTATAATTATCAAGAACCAAGTCTAAAAAAGCGTCGAGCTGTGAGGAAGGCATTAGTGCTACGTGATTGAGACTGGGAGAAGTGAGAGTGAGAGGCGTGAGCGACAAGCGTATATGGCTGAGTCTGAGCAAGAAAAGAATGAGAATTAGGGTTTTGGAAATTTGGAATGTTAAGAATTAAAAAAAAAATTTTGGTCCTGTTTAGGTGATCCGAGTGGGTGGGTCCACACCTAGAACCGAGAATCGGACCGATATTTACTGGTTCCAAATTTTAGAGAATGGGAACCGGATTGATTCTTGCGAGAACCACCCAAAATCGGCCGGTTTGATCCAATTCTTTTGCTCACCTTTAGCCAAAAGGAGAAATCGTATTTTTTCTAATCTAAGCTTGTTTTTTCAGTCGTAGAAAGAGTTTTTTGTAGATCAATTAGTTTTCTGTCATTTAAATATCGGAAAGTTGGAAAATAATTTTTCGAAAACAGTTTTTTTTTCAAACAAACGGACTTTTAGTCTTCAATGAAAATTCGTGACTGGTACTTCTTGCTCTATATAGAGTAATTGAGATGGATCATGCGTTCTTAGCTAATCCCCGTTTCATACCAAGCAAAATTAAACTAATCCCATGACGTTGATTTAGGTAGTTAAATGTGTATGAGAATTACGTGTCCACAACTCTGTCTGGTTCCTCGTACCATCAGGTATAAATAATTCCATCTAGATCTTAACTAATCTGCAAGGTTAGTGGGGTATTTCATGGGTTCAGAACGAACTTACTTAGGATGGCTCCCTCATTTTCCTATATTACAAAATTCATGTTTGTCCCAACACATGTGTGCTCTTAAAAAATTGGAATTATTCGATCTAAGCACGTAAGAAAATTGATAGGGAAAATGACATAAATAGTCTATGAACTTTGACTCAACGTGCAATATGGTCCATTAACTTTTAATTTGTTCAATTTGGTCCATGAACTGTAGTATAATGTGCAATCTAGTCATTGAACTTTCAATTTGTTCAATGTGGTCCGTGAATTGTTGGTACATATTTAACTTGGTCTCTAAATTATGTGAAAATGTCAAATTGCACATTGGGTTATAGCTCAGGGACCATATTAAATAAATTAAAAGTTCATAGATCACATTGCATATTGGGCAAAAAATTAGGTACTATTTGTGTTATTATTTCAAAATTGATGATACGATGACTTAGAGGCATAGGATGATGAGTCACGGACCAATGGTGCAAAATATAATACGACATGCATTGTTCAAACATGTCCCACAATAGAATCCATTAGGGCTAACATTCCTTAAAGCACGCATCCAATCAGAGCAACAGTGATTAATCAGTACACCTTTTCAAAACCTCAGTGCGTCCCTCATGAAGACGCACCAAAACTAATCGAAAAAAAGGGTCTCATCATTCTCCGCCGATTCAGCAAAGTTAGCTTTGTGATTATTTTTCTCTTGAAAAAAAACAAAGACAAACGGCTTATTCGGTAATTAGGAAGCATCACAAACAAAAGGTCGATGGAAAAAATAAACAAGGACATCGTGTTTATCGCCGCTCGATGTTGCTCACATAGTATGAATATTGCAATGGAATAAGTGTATTTGACAGTACTGATGGTAGGAATTTGAAGAAACCGCGCTCGGTTCCTCTAAAAAGCACAAACTCTCGTAAAATTTCTATCCCGTGGATTGCTCATAGGACAAAAGCTACCAAAAATTTTACCGTGTTCACTGTAACATATTTACCTTAATTTTTTTTTTCCATAATACCAAAAATCTCAAACTTTTATCTATGTGATATATTTATCTTTCGTTAAAGTTTGTTAAAGAGAACTGTTAAAAACCTGAATGCATGGACGTTAGAAAGTAAATGGTGTTGATATGGAGCGCCTATGCGGCTAAAGGAAAATAAAAACGACGTTTTTTCGACTGAAAAATCATGTAATGGAATCTTGACGGAGCGTGAATGTGTTACATAAGTACAAGTTTATGACTTTTTATATCACAATAAAAAAATTTAGAGTAAACGTGTTACGATAAGTATATTTTGGGGTTTTTATGGATACACGTGTTATGGTCGCTATAAATTGAGGTGATATGTGGATTTTTCCCTGGTTTATAAGCTGATGTAGCAAGGTTTTCTGGTTTATGTAGCCGTCGTTGTCGTCGTCGTCATAGAAGAGATAAAAGGCGTATCCGCAAAGTGATATAGGCCACGTGGTGTGGTCCTGTGGATTGGCCATTAGTCAAGCCACTTCCCCAATAATACAACCTTTCTCATTGCTAAATAAAACCAAACCCGCAAAAATACCTTTCTCCTCTTCCACATCTCCCATGACCCCTAGCTTTTTGTCACATTTAGTAGGAATTTTTATAGGAGTAGGTAAAAGGGCGGTCATGGACGTCTAGTCTCATCCTCCTCCTCCCCCCAAGAGTCATGATGATGTCTCATGTTCATTTAAACTGCTCGGTTTAACCGGCATCGAAAAATTGATCATCGATAAATTTATAATTATTTTTCCATCAGCGTGTCGAAAATTAAGATATCGCATGAGATAGCAAATGATTTAGGCACGGACCGGCCAAGCATTGTGACTCGAACTTGTGACCATCTTCTTCAGGCTCACTAACATTATACTACCGCCGTAATGATAAAAAGAGTTTTTCTTTAATTTGGGTTCGGTGGAAAATTTCGTGTGTACGGTTTGATTTCCGTGGATAGCGTTAAGAAGATGTGGCCTCACTAATATTAGACTACCACTCCAATGATAACAAGTTTTCTTTAGTTCGGTGACGGTCGAAAAATTTCATTTTCATGGTTTGATTTCATGAATAGTGTATTTCGTTCTTTTTCAAATTTCTATTCATAGGAAATAATTCGATCTTGTCATTGTGTCCGTGTCATTAAAATGCTTCAACGCGAATGCAATTTATAATATGTTTTCTCAAAACTAAAAACGAGTGAAAACATGTCGATTCTTATCCATTCTAGGTTAATTTGTGTTGAGCCGAGCTTAAATGTTTACATTTGCCTCTCACATTGAATTTATTATCTCGTAAAGAAATAGATATACTATGAACAATACAATATTATTATTATTTTCTCTTCCCACGAGACTGGGGGTATGGTCGGTGCTACGTGGCACCGCGACGGTGGTCATGGCCTCCACCGTCGGCTGCGAATCTTTAGCAGCGTGGAAAGAAAATCCCACCGCCCTGATCGTAGATCGCCATGAAAGTGAATCCCCATGAGCTAAAGTAAAAGCTAACTTGGACTCCCGTTCATACTTGCTAAGTAAAGTTTTCAACTTTAATAATATCTCTCTCTCTCTCTCTCTCTCTCTCTCTCTCTCTCTCGCCATAAATAGACGAGACATTCTTGAATCTTCTCGCTAATTCACTGCATCAAGAAGCACACACACTCATTCAAATCCAACGCGACAAGAAGTTCTCAACACCATCTCTTCCCCCGTTTCTCTCCTCTCTCGATGGCGCGTTACTACAACGGCAACAGCTACTACTCCTACTACGCCGACTACCTCTCCCTCCCGCCCTTGCACCTCTGCTTCTTCGTCGCCATCCTCTTCCTCGTGCTGGGCTTCTCCTGGTACATCAACTACGAGTCGGTGGTGGAGGACGTGATGTCCCAGGTCAAGCTCTTCCTCATGCTCTGCCCCGTGGTCCTGCTCCTCCTCGTCCACTTCCTCTCCAACGAGGAGGACTGGAACCGGGTGCCCTACTTCCTGGCCATGCCGGAGCGGGACTCGCTCCACCGCGCCGGCGGGTCCCCGTGGGGCATCGCGGCGGTGCTGGTGTTCCTGATCTTCATGGTGTCGTACCAGTCTTCGCTGCAGGAGCGCTGGTTCCCTCTCTTGTCTAGGTGATTACGAGTCGAGTTCGAGTATACCCGTGTGTTTTTCTGTGTATTATAAGCGTAATTAGTGAGGGAGAGATTAATTATGCGAGTGGAGTCGTGAGAGTGCGGGCCTGTTGGACTTTTTGTACGTGTACAAGCCATGCTGTCTCGGATCTGATCTTCTAAGTCTCTGTAAATTGTGGTCTGGTTCGGTTTGAAGAAGACAAGGATATAGCTCCGAAGTGTGTCTTCCTGAGCTTCTTGTGTTAATTAATCAGTGATTCAGCTTAATTAATCAGGCGGAGTTCATCGTGCTTTTGTTTTGGTTGTAAGCTGGGATAGGAGAGGCCAAGAAGGGCTATGGATATCGGCTTAATTAATCATGGCCGGTCCTCGCTTTCTTGATGTTACGTGACATCATACCGTTGATTCATTGACCCTAAACATTTCGCTTACAGGTGATTGTCGCGCAGCGCCGGACCGGCTGGAGATCGCAAGCCGGGCCTGGGTTGAAGACAAATTAGATTTTAAATTTGAGGCCTGGCCCGTTTCGGTTGTGATTGACTGCCGAGCTCATGATCAGATCTAGTCCGGGTGTAAGTTATGAGTTTGAGTGATTGCTCTTGAAGTTTTGGGTTGGATCTCCAAGGGGAAAAAAAGGAAAAATGATTGTTTATTTGTGGGTCCATTTTGGGAAGATTTTTTTTTTATCGAAAGAAAATAGTATTCATTACTCAAAGAAATGCATAGACTTTCATAATAAAGCTCATGCCAAAACGTGACTAACGGTATTTACGCATATAACAGAAAAACGAAACAATGTCATTTATTGCGAATACCAAATGATGTTTGATGTTTTTAAGTTTTGTCAATCAGGAACTTGTCTGTTTTAACGAGAAAATAGAAAAAAAAAATCAGTATCCATAGATTGAAAGAGCTTGGGTTAGTGAACCGAGTTCTCTTTTCCCCAAACCAAAAGTTAGTGTTCCGAATTGATGACAATTGTTGGGGATGGAAAACTTAACGGTGGATTATTTTATCCTATAGTAAAAATTCATTCACGTCTTGGGGTCATTTGAAAAGTGAGGATATTTCCGTTATGTGCATAATCCATGCATTTTGTTTAGGTTTGGCCCGAAATATTATAAGAGAAAACACTTTTGATGCCATAAAATGAAAGAACTACGAAAAATGTTCCGAGTTCAATATTCCACGATCTTGTCATTTCGTAATAAACGAACTATACCCCAATGAATTTGCTTTTCAACATTTCTTTAGTTGTGGTCTTCAAAGTCTCTTACTAAATAACGGTAACGTCATATAAGCAGGGTTCTTAGAATGATCGTCTGAGCTCTGTCGCCACGAAGCTTCCCACATGCTAAAAGTGGAACCTCTTGCGTCACGTTCTTCGCTTTTGATTTCGGTGTGTTCTTTGCCCTTTTGCTTTACTAAAAGTGCAACTTTAATTGCGGTTGCGCCATTTAAAGGATTGAGGGAGAGTAAATTCACTTTTGTTTCGGGTGTTCGAGTGTGTAACGATGCGGGCGTTGGCGACGACTGCCACCACCGCCGTTCATCACTCTCTGCCTTGGTCGTCATGTAGTTTCGGGCATGCAAGAGAGTTTTTCTAAGTTGGGTATTCGATAACACTAGCACAGATAGACGGTTGAATGGGTGAAGCGAGTAGATGCGAACAGTGTGTGAAGACGATATGCCGTCACTCTAATAATGTCTATGTTTTGGTTGGGTGTACGACAGAATCCGTATAGTATCTCCTCTGCGTAGTGACCCTTGGGGCCATGCCCACGTTAGTTACATTAACGAAGTCCTATTCGATGCACGTGAACTTCACGATTTGTGTGTATCCGTGGTGATTAGTCAAATCGAAAAGTTTCAATTCTCCGTATTTAAAAAAAGATAAAATTACATAAAAAGGTCTAATTTGAGAAAGTGGGATAGGTGATTACACACAAATTGTTAGCGGTCAAAATCACGATGCAGATGTACAATGCCTTTATAGGAATAGTGGACCTCAAAGTTAGGATCCTGTAGAGTTCGGTAAAGTTAACCCCTTGAACACATCAACAACAAGCAAATTGGACCGCTCATATTCATTATATATGTTTCTTGTTTTTATCGTTTTCCATCTCTTATTGCCTTTTTCTCCTTTTTCATTTTGCCCCTCCGTCCATCCACAACATTAACCTCAAGTTGCACGACCACTAGCCACAGCCGCACCTCCATCGCCTGATGCCGCCGGCCTAGGTCCTCGCCGTGCGACGACGCCAAACAAAGAAAGTAATTACCTAATGGTCTTTGGGATACAGTTGCCCGTTACATTAATTAAATCAAATTATAGTAAAATAAAATCAATGATAACTCGATAATATTACATACCCGAACAAAGATTAGTTTCTTTCAAGAAGCAATGGCAATAGGGAGAAACAGAAAAGAGTTGGTAGAGGGTGACAATTCTAAAAGAATAATTATAGAATATACAGCTGGCATAAAAAAGGTTTTACTCGAGCAATCTTATATATCATTGATTTGAGATAGTGGATAGTTACGATCCTAGAGTAAATGATGGATAATGCTGTTTGGTGTAAACTTTTCTTTACATTGACGATGTATGGTTTACCTTTCCATACTAAAAACAAAGAGTGTCCTCAAATCTCATTGTAAAGCAAAGAGTGTCCCTTGGATTTTGGCAATAATCAATTATAAAAAAAAAAATCTTAGATACGAGTTTAAGTTTTCGGATTTTTTTTTTTGGCTATTGGTTCTCAAGGGCATACACGGAATTAATAGAACGATTTAAGCTTCTACAGAAAAATGTGTTTTATCAAAGAAGTTTATAGTCAATTTAAGGCTCATTGATTTGACGTCTAATATGGTACCTTTTTTTTTTTTTTGGTCAGAATCTAATATGGTACCTTGATGGGGTTTTTATGCCAAGGATCTCAGCTAGTCAAAATATTTTTCGTGAACAAAAGCGACACGGAAGACTTTGGAGTTATATCTATGCTAGGAAAGTATGAATTGACATCCTATTGGAACGTGGCGTGCCGGCAGCTAAAGACTTCCCCGATGGAGCAACAACAACGATTAGCTAGAGCAACTGAACCTACCCTGACAGATCCAAGTCAAAAGTCCTTTGTGCTAAACGATCGACACGGTCGGTGAGTTACGTGAGACAACGAAACACGTAGAGAGGCAAAAAGTGAAACCTTACCCATTGATCGACAAGGAAGAAGAGGTTGGTGACGGAGCTGCTCAGGTTTACTTTTCTGTATTGGTGAATGTGTTTACCGTCGGTATACACGTTAGTGAACTTGTTTCGAAGCCAAAACAATTTGAGTAAACAATATATAGTCAGCTAGAACAACTTAGTTTGCGAAATGATATAGCCAAAAGAGGCTCTGCAAGCCATAAAACTTCCTCTGTTTTACTGCATCTACATCAGTTTCGGTTACAGCCTTCGTCTGCTCTTTCTTGGAGACCAGCTTGAATTTAAAGACATGTTTTTGAGACCGTGGCTGAGACATGTTGAGCTGACCCCACTTGCTAATTTCCTGTACTAATTAAGGAGGAGAAATGCTTGCATCTCTGTTTTATTCTGTTTTCGAGGTGGTGTTTTGTTTTCTAGTTTCTTGCTTGAATATGGTGAAGAAGCTTGGCTGCAATTGAATTGGAACTTCAAGCTGTGGTTTTATGCTTTCTTGACTTGTTTAATACGGGGCTTTTAGCATCAGATTGAGCTTCAAGTTTCTTGCTTGAATTGATTGCTCTCAAGTTTCTTACCCTGGTTGATTGCTTCCTGGAAAAGTGTGGGTTCAGATAAATGGGGTTGAAGTATCGGATCCAAGGTTCGTCAATCTCCTCATGAAAGGGTTGGGGCTCCTGGTTCAATTCGGGTTCAGCAGGAGCCATGGTTAGTGGCGATTCGCGTCTCCGGAGGCTCATCCCTTCGTTAAGGTGTGAGAAACGAGTGGCTGAGAGTGACTTATTAATGTTGGTTCGAATTCTCATTTTGCTAGGATTTTGCATCTTGATGCAATCCGAATCCATAAATGATTAAATAATGAATAAAAAATCGCAAGTTCAAACACCAAGTTTAGTGACGTTGTTTGGGTCGATTCCGGTTGTTGACTCGAGATCGAACCGAATGTTTCTTTTACTTGGACACCCGAACCAAAAAGACCCGAATTGTTTTGTTCGGTTGGCTTCGAATTTGGTTCAGTCAATTCTCTTTGACACCTTGGGGTGAGGGATGCAACCCACGAATGGAGATGGAAGGATGGTTGTCATCTGCAGCGAGCTGGGCAGAAGTCCTCATGGCGGTAGACGGCGACGGCGACAGTGGCTGGTAGTGGTGGTGGATGAGCCAAGGCTTGAGTTGGTTTGAGAGTTTTAGGAGGGTTGAGAATTGAGTATTTGGTTCTGAGCATTTTAAAATAGGAAATGACAAATTTGTAAATGATAAGAATAATGGTTAAGTAATGTCAGCGTCCAAAGGGGGTATGTAAGGCTAAAACTCAAGGGGATTGAGTCATTGAGTAACTTTAGCGGATGAAGTTAATCCTTGAATCAATATACTCATATTTTAGAGTAATTTATCCCCTCTCTCTATCTCGGCTCGATGGCCGTGATGGTTTTATCGTCGCTCGAGACCTGCGAGGCATGGCCGGGCCTGTGCATGGCTATGGTGCTAGATCAACTACTTACTTAATAGAAAGTGTACGCGTAAATATCAACTTGTGGCTATATAAAAATAGATAGAATAGCAAACTTTGCACAGTAAAACATTGGGAAAATTACCAAAAAAGTCATAAACTTATTGCACTTTTGCCAATTCACTCATAAACTTTTAATTGTGCCAATTGAGTCCTAAATCTTTTCACGTTTTGACTATTAAGTTCATCAAGCCAATTTTACTGGAAATCGCTGACGTGGACACCAGTCGTTCTACGTGGTACAGTTGGCGCTGATGTAGATAATTTTAGTATTTTTTCAATATTCTTTCAAATTTTTTATTTCTTTTTTTTTTCTCTTTTCCTTCTTTTTTGTTTTTCGGTAGGCGAGGGTCCTGCCATGTGAAGCCCCTGCCAGCAGCAAGGGAGGGTCGCAAGCCTTCGCCCATACCATCGCAGAATCGAGCGAGGCCCCCTAGCCTAGAGTTAGGCGAGGCTGGCCTCTCTTGCGGCCGTGATGGCCTTGCCCAGATTCGAGCAAAGGCCATGACACTCGCTGGCTACAATTAAAAGAAAAGAAGGAAATAAGAAGACAATAAAAAAAATAATAACAAAATCGAAAAGAAAATATTAAAATTGTTTGTGTCAGCGCTGGCCATACCACTTAGGATGGCTAGTATATCCATTAGC